CATCATCCGCATCATCGTCATCGTCATCATCATCAGCAGTAGCATCATCGTCATTATCATCGTCGTCATCATCATCAGCAGCAGCATAATCAGAATCAGCAGCATCATCATTATCATCATCATCGTCATCATCATCAGCAGCATCAGCATCATCACCAGCATCATCATCATCATCATCATCATGATCATCATCATCATCATCATCATCGCCATGATCAGCAACATCACCATCATCATTGCCGTCAGCATCAGCAGAATCAACATCAGCTTCAGCATAATCCATCACAATCATTATCAGCATAAGCATCAGCATCAGCATCCGCATCATCACCAGCATCATCAGCAGCAACATCATCGCCAGCATCTTCGGCATCGTCAACATCATTATCATCATCAGCAGCAGCAGCAGGTACATGATGAGTGTCAGCATCATGAGCGTCATCAGCATCATCATCGTCATCACCAGCATCATCATCACCGCGACCATCATCATCATCGTCAGCATCAGCAGCATCAGCAGCAGCATCATCATCAGAATCAGCATCATCGGCATCAGTATCATGATCATCATCGTCAGCAGCATCAGCGCCATGATCAGCGTCATCACCATCATAATAATCGTCGTCATCGTCATCAGCATCATCAGCATCAGCATCATCAGCATCCTCAGAATCATCATCAGCCTCATCAGCAGCCTCATCAGCAGCCTCATCAGCGTCAGCATCATAATCAACATCTGAATGTCCCTCATCATAATCACCACCAGTATCATCATCACCACCATCAGCACCACAATCGTCGTCGTCCTCGTCGTCCTCGTCGTCCACCTTCTTCTCATCCTCATGATCGTTCGTCTTCTCCTCCTCCCCACCAGCATCATCAGCAGCATCAGCAGCATCATCGACGGCGTCCTCAACAACATCAACAGAATCGTCGTCACTATCGCCATCTGCATCATCAACATCATCAACGTCATCATCGTCATCATCGTCATCAGCATCATCATCATCATCGTCATCATCACCATCGTCATCCTCATCATCATCGTCATCTTCATCCTCATCCTCATCCTCATCCTCATCCTCATCCTACTCCTCATCATCACCTTCATCCTCCTCATCCTGATCCGCATCCTCATCTGCATCCTCGTCCGCATTATCATCATCCTCATCAGCATCATCCTCATTGGCACCGACATCAGCATCAGAATCAGCATCAGCATCATCATCCAGATCGTCCTCGTCCTCATCCTCGTCCTCGTCCTCCTCCTCCTCCTCCTTATCGTCCTCGTCTCGTCCTCGTTCACCGCCCAGGCAGCCGACGTTCCAGAACCGTCGGGGCCGTGTATACGGACAGACAGCTGGGCCCCCGGGGGTCCAAACGCGTCCACAACCGCTGCCTCCCGAGGTCCTGGGGCACCAGCTGCCCCGGGCGGTGGATGCATAGACATCCCCGGCTTCGGATCGACCCCTTCGCCGTCCCTCCCCGTCTCGCCCTCCTCATTCTCCCTCCCTCTCATCCTTCACCATCCCCCTTCCTCTTTCTCCCTCCCCCCCTCCTCCTCCTCCTCCTCCTCCTCCTCCTCCTGCTCCTCCTGCTCCTCCTGCTCCTCCTGCTCCTTTTCGTCCTCCTCCTCCTCCTCCTCCTCCTCCTTCGCCGCCCCCTCCCCCTCCTCCTCTTCCTCCACCCCCCTCCTCCTCCTGCCCTCCTCCTCCTGCCCCTCCGCCCCCTCCTTCTTGTCCTCCGACCGCCGCTCTCGCCCGAGCTCTCTGCACCCAGCCCTAGCCTTCGAGCCCTGGGCGGTGTGTACCGCCATCGCGCCATGGCGCCAACGTACGGACCGCTGAGGCCCCCGAACCAGGTGGTGAGATACCAGATGGTGGTCCGGAGTCCCCTGGTGGGCCTGTCTTCCACCACCACCACCACCATAAGCAGGAAGGGGTCCTCATCCTCCTCCTCCTCCTCCTCCTCCTCCTCCTCCTCCTCCTCCTCCTCCTCCTCCTCCTGCTCCTCCTCCTCCTCCTCCTCCTCCTCCTCCTCCTCCTCATCTTATTCCTCCTCCTCCTCCTCATCCTCCACCTCCTTTCCCCCCTCCAACTTATGGCGGTGGTGGTGGAAAACAGGCCCATCATCCCCAAAAAGTCACCGCCAGGTCTTGGAACAAGGGGTAACCGCTGGGCTGTGACTCCTGGACCCACCATCGTTCGGGACCTCCTCGAACAACCACACGAGTCCCCAAACCGGGTGGTGACGCCAATTGTCCCGAGACTCAATGCCCGGTGTTGTCACCACCACGTTTGGGGACTACCCAACGAAACAAAGGGGTTGTTCTGGCCACGGCGAGACTCGGAGACGAGAAGTTCCCCCGACCTGGATCTCAGGAGCGGACCAGGAACCAGAGACGATCCTGAACTCAAAGGGGTCCTCGTTGCAGCGCCTTGGCCGTGTGATCAGACCCGGCCTCGGATCGACCCCGTCGCCGTCCCTCCCCTCTCGCCCTCATCCCCTCCCCCCCTCCTTCTCGGGCACAAGATAACATGGGTTACAGACCTGATGTGGGGCGGGCGCGTCGGCGCCAGGTCAAGAGATTGGGGAAGGTCCCCATATTTGCGCGCCCTCGACCTTCTCCTTCTCCTCTCGCGCTCACCCTACAGTCGACGCGTATGCTAAGGATGCGCGGTAAGGACGCAAGCCCCTTGGACGCCTGGGTTTGTGCTCCTTGAGCTAAGGACCGCCTGAGGATAGGCTGAATAGACAAGGATGCAAGGGTAGCCTTGGGAATGTCACTCGACCTTCCCATGCGCGTTCACTGTAGCCCTCCGCCAACCAGCGTTGCCCCGTGGCCGCTCGCCCTGGCCTTCGTCCCCGCCCGCTTGATGGTGCGGTACTGGTCCTTGCCGGCGAAGACCTGACGGCAGGGCTCCCGCGGCGACCCCGGGAGACCACCCCCCCCCCGAGGCTCCCCACAGGGCCCCTCTGAGCCCGATGCGGTCGCGACGGCGAGGAGGCGCCCCGTCGTCGAAGTTCGGCCGGCGAGGGGCCCAGCTCCATGCTTCGAGGAGGGGATCGACTACAGACGTGATACACCCCACACTTAATTTCCGCGTCGAAAGCATGGGAGAAGTGCGTAGAAGATGCTCGTAGATGCACGGGTCATGCTCTGCGTATTTTCTCGTAGGCTCGGCGAACACATCAGTTTTGGGGAGCAAATCCATGTCGCAATCGATCCCCTGCTCGCATGCTGCACCTGCGTGCGGCGCAGTGGGCGGGCCTCTGCCCGTGCTCTGCGGGCCGCGGGCACGATCTCCGCCAGAGGGCCGGACGGGAAAAGGCGTGCGGAGAGCGGCCGCGTGCGAGCGCGCCCGCCGGGGCCGCAGGCGGGCTCCCCCCTCCGGTGGCAACTCACGGCAGCCTCCCAGACGGTCAGCCCGCACAGCGAGGATGGGCAACAACCCTCCTCCTCCTCCTCCTCCTCCTCCTCCTCCTCCTCCTCCTCCTCCTCCTCTCCTCCTCCTCCTACTCCTACTCCTCCTCCTCCTCCTCCTCCTCCTCCTCCTCCTCCTCCTCCTCCTCCTCCTCCTCCTCCTCCTCCTCCTCCTCCTCCTCCTCCCCCTCGGTCCATCCGTGGCCACTTTCGCTGGCCGCGTCCCGCTCGAAGAGCTTCGGAATGGGCGCCCAATGCCCTTGCACCCTCATCGCGCATCCTTCTGATACGGGTCGACTGTACCATCTTGAGGGCTCTGGCGAATCAACGCGAACCGACGCGAATCGACGCCGAATCGACGACGACGCTAAATCGACGCCGGCCGACGCGAATCGACGCAATTATGACGCGAATCGACGCTAAATCGGCACTATCTCTTCGACTACCAAACGCTAATGGTAGCGAGTCGACGCCAAAGATTGAATTGAGAGGGTACACAAGGCCCCCAAGAGTTGCTAACGAAACCTCCCTGTGGAGCACGATCCGCGTTGCTGGTGCGGTCTGGGGGCGTGCCGACATGGGCGGGTGGGGAGGGCGGCATGTGGACGCGCCCAATGGGCCAACAGGTAGAGCAATCCTGTGGGGCACGATCAATGCCGAAATGGGCTGGGCGGGGGGTTGCCGTGTAAGCGCGCCCACTGGAACCGTACATGGAGCTCCCTGTGAGGCACAATGCGTGTGAGGAGCGCGTTTAATACGAGTCGCCATGACGGCCGTTACCGGGGATGCCCCCTTTCTCCCCCCGCCCCCACGTACATGTGGTAACGTCACGGTTCGCGCCGGCGCCGTTTGGGAATTGTTCGGGGTAGCTAATTTCCCATACGGCGCCAGCACGAATCGTGACGTTACCATCTCCCTCGACCCCCCCCTCGGCAAACGGCCGTCATCGCCAGGAGATACAAAACCGGGCCCGAGGGGTGCGCGGAAGTGTGCGGGGGCGGCATGCAGGCGCACACACTGTGGCCGCATGGAGCTCGCCAGCAGGCACGCGAAACGTGCGAGGGAAGGGCCAGGGCAGCAGGTGGAGCTCCCTGCCGGGCACGATGCGCGTGAAGGGTGCGCCGATATGAGCGCGAGGGGAAGGCACGCAGTTGCGCCCAGCAGGCGGAGCGCCAAACATCCTGCATGGTATATGACTTGGGACGGGTGCGCCAAGTCGACCCCTGGAAACGAATGCACCTTTTGCAGGTCGTGTCGAAGAGTGTGGGACCTCCCTGGGAATAGCTTGTCATCCCGGGTCTGTTTCTTTCGGCACCACGGCCCGCAAGCGGCCTCTGCAGACCAATCATGTTTCTATTTGGTTTGTTTTAGACATATATACACACATACACGTGTGCATATATATATATATATATATATACATGTATATGGATATATATACACACACGCATGTACTGTTATAGCGGCGGCGGCGAAAGCAAACAAATCGACAATCGAAGCTGCACTACCCTTCCATGGCAGAGTAGGTGGCCGAACATCGGCAAATACGCCCCGCGTTGCGGGACGCACGGCTATCTCCGCGCCGTCACGCCCTCGCGACGCCCCCTCTGCGGCGAAGGGCAGTCGCCGCGGTCCAGACCACGACGCGCGAATCACGAAGCGCCATTACCTTCGCGCCTCCGCGGGTAACCTGGCGAATCCGCGGGGCCAAGAGTCTTAGTACGTGGCAAGGCTTGCGCGTGGCGACTGGGTCCCAAAACAGGAGAAACACGAGGAGGAGGAGAAGAGACGAGACGAGACGAGACGAGACGAGACGAGACGAGACGAGACGAGAAGAGAAGAGAAGAGAAGAGAAGAGAAGAGAAGAGAAGAGAAGAGAAGAGAAGAGAAGAGAAGAGAAGAGAAGAGAAGAGAAGAGAAGAGAAGAGAAGAGAAGAGAAGAGAAGAGATGAGAAGAGAAGAGAAGAGAAGAGAAGGGAAGAGAAGAGAAGGGAAGAAAAGAGAAGAGAAGAGTAGAGAAGCGAAGAGAAGAGAAGAGAAAAGAAGAGAAGATAAGAGAAGAGAAGGAAAAGAAAGAGAAGGAGGAGGAGGCGAAGGAGGAAGGGGGAGGAGGCGGCGGCGGAGAAGCGAGATCGGGCCAACTGTTTCGTCTGCCATGAAGGCCACATAGGGTGAAATTCGAGCGACTATAAACTTGGCGTGACCTATCAGACGCTATGTAAGCGTGTGAACGACGGCCCCCTCCACGGGGGGAGCCCCAAGGTGTCCTTGTTCAGCCACGATTCACGGGGAGCGACACTGCGGAATTCGCACACAAAGCAAGTCCTCAGGAGAACGAGGACCAAGAAAAAGGAACACGGACCAGGAATCAGTCGGGCCACATGAGCGACCAGACCTTTGAAGTTCACAGTTGAAGACGACGAGCGAGGAGGAAGGCTCGAACGAGAAGGAGAGGAGAGGAGAGGACAGCGGCAGCAGCAGCATTGAGGGCGGTTTCCTGGAAGGCGGGCGCCACGAAACCCCCGAGCCCAGTCAATCCAGCAACTCTCGTCGACACGGTCGCTTGCCTCCCAGCCGTTTGCCCCTGCAAAGCTGACATGGCCCCCCGCGACGCCGTCAGAGACTTTCTCCCAGTCGGAGCCACTGAAGCAGACCTGGCCACTCCCAATGTCGCCAATTGTGGCGCAGAGGAGATACCTACACCCGAAAACAAACAAACATCGACCCCAGGACAGCTCTGCCTATCGATTAACCCCCGAGGATATAGGCGATGCAGAAGCACCTAAAAAATGTTGCACATCGTCACGTCTCACGATAGTCAGGTTATCCTGAACGTTGCCCCCAGGAAACTTGCAGCATCGGCAACACCACTCTGACGAGGAGCCAAGTCAGCACGAGGACGCAGGACAGCCCGTTGTCCACACACGATGCCCCCTCCACCCTGCTGCTGAACATCAGAGTTCACCTCTGCCGAACCAAGCGCCACTACAGCTCGAACTCGTCGAGCGCGAGCTGAAGGACCCTTTGGGGCCATGGCTGGACGAACCTCCCCGCCGAGTTGCACAACGCACTCTTGGAACGCACGAGCCATCTGCGGGTCGGCCAGACTGAAAACCATCTTGTCGAGCCCCTCTTTGAAGGCGCTGGACACACGGAACCCATTGACCAGCGTAGTCAGGTCGGCGATCGCGTTCATGCCGTCAAGCTTTGTCCGTTGAGCCTGCCTGGACCTCGCGGTAGCCAGGCCGACCTTGTCGCCCGTTTCTGACACCTTCTTCGCCACCACCAGAAAGATCTACACGCACGCTGGGCCCATCCTCAACTCTAGCAATGCCTTGTCGTTCGGGTCGGCCTGACGGTCGGCGCTCATTCTCGCGGCCTCCCTCGCGTACGCTCGCCCTGCCTGAAAGCCTGCTCTAGCTCGCTCTCTTCTGGCATCGTCGTCTTCACGATCCCCGCCGCCTTGAGCATCCTCAGCGTGAAAGGAATGCCCACCACGGCTCCCATCATGACTGGAAACAACTTGTCGCGCATGTGAGCACACATGGCTGGCAATGTGTCCAAAAATTTCCGCTGGCACCCCGTGGGACTTGCCGATCTCCGCAGCAAGGTTCCCTCCTCAATTTCCTGGCCGTGGGTACCGCGGAAGAGGAGGAGGAGAGGAGGAGGAGGAGGAGGAGGAGAAGAAGGAGGAGTGAGGCGTGCGAGCGGCGCCGCGGAGGGAAACCTGGGAACCACTTCGCTGGAGGGTGGGAAAAAATCACGAAAGAGCTGGCCCCCTTCCCCTGCACGTTCAGACCCCTACCCAGCGTCCTCGACAACGCACCAGGACTGAGCGAGCACAAACATCGCCTATGGCCTCACGCGGTGCTGGGACACTCCAGCGAACTGCCCTACACATGCAGCGCGAATCCTGAAACCGCGCCCTTTTGGTACAGCTTCCTCGCCGACCCGCAGCTGGTCGGCGCCCGGACCGTGCGATGGGCTGTGCTGTGACTCGGCGGACCAAACACAGCACAGCATCAACTGTTCCGCCAGCGAGGACACCAGCCCCAGGCGAGGCGAGGCGAGGCGAGGCGAGGCGAGGCGAGGCGAGGCGCGCCGTGTCCGGCCAAGATGGACGACCCGCATGGGGCAAGGCGCGTGGGCCGCAGCCATCGCATGTCAGCCTTCCTCGGTGCGAAGGCAGATTCCAACGCTTCCCCATCTCCTGCGAAATGGCGCCACGCTTCCTGCTGGACTCCTTTTTGGCACCGGCCCTTGGGCGGCTGGTGAGTCTATATAGGCGGCGCGCCAAGGGGGGAAGCGAGAAGGAGAAGGCCTTCTCAGAAGGCTTGAAGTTCCCGGGACTTCTGAGAAGTTTCCCAAGCCTTCCCCGAGGACAGAAAAAACTGCTCAGAAGGCCGGAGGCCTTCCGAGAAGTCCCGCCGCCTTCTGAGAAGGCCTTCTCCTTCTCATTTCCCCCCCTCGCTCGCCTCCGACCATACCACGACGCGCCGCCGCACGGGCGCAGACCTCTTCCACCCGCCCCCGGGGCAGGCGCTCCCGCTGGCGGAAAAGTGCAGCGTGCCGCTCTCCGCGGTGCTCCGAGGTGTGGGCCCGAGCCCGTCGCGCAACGCGGTGGGCCCCGTGCGTCGAGGGAGCCGCGCCTCCCGGCAGCTGCCGCCGCGCAGGCGCGGGCACCGACCACGTCGTCGTCCCCGTCCGTGGCAGCAGCCCCACGCTCGCGACACGAGGCTGTGGGGGGTTCGGGCTCACGCTCCTGCGACCTCTGCTCATGGTCCTCCTCCCCCTCCTGTTCGCCCTCCTTCTGCTCCTGTTGCTCCTCCTGGTCCTCCTCCGACTCCTCCTCCTCCTCCTCCACCATCTCCTCCACCTCCTCCTCCTCCTCATCATCATCATCATCATCAGCAGCAGCAGCAACAGCAGCATCATCATCAGCATCAGCATCAGCATCAGCATCAGCATCAGCATCAGCATCAGCATCAGCATCATGAACATCAGCATCAGTATCATCATCAACAGCAGCAGCATCATCATCCCTCCACCTCTTGCTCTTACTCACTGTAACCGCCACAAGCGCCCTCCCGCCAGCGGACCTCCGACCCAGCGCCCGCCATTGTCATCTGGGCGGCGAAGACGTAAGCCTGCAGGGCGGGCGAGGGGGAAACAGCTGTGCTCTTCCTGTGCAAGCCGACCGTGCCAGCTGCGAGACGGCGAAGGAAGGGAGGGGAAGGGGAAGGGAGGGGAAGCGGAAGGGGGGAGGGGAGAGAGGGAGGGAGGAGAGAGAGAAGGGAGGGGAGAGAGGGAGGGAGGGAGGGAAGGGAAAGGGAAAGGGAAGGGAAGGGAAACGGAAGGGAGGGAGGGGAGAGAGGGAGGGAGGAGGCAGGAGACGGAGCAGGAGGGGGGCAGAAAGGAGGACACGTGAAAAAAACGGAAAGCGAAGGAAGCTGGGGCATCGGGAGCGATGGCCCGGCGCGGGGAGCGAGTGGCGACGCGGGTCGCCCAAGGGGGGCAGGCGGGCCGCACCCTCCTCCCTCCAACCCCCTCCCTCACTCCAACCTCCTCCTTCAAGCTCAAACATCAAACTTCCTCCTCCTCCTCCTCTTTCAAGCTCACAAACTTCCTCCTCCTCCTCCCCCTCCTCCTCCTCCTCCTCCTCCTCCTCCTCCTCCTCCTCCTCCTCCTCCTCCTCCTCCTCCTCCTCCTCCCTCCTCCTCCTCCTCCTCCTCCCTCCTCCTCCCTCCCTCCCTCCCTCCCTCCCTCCCTCCCTCCCTCCCTCCCTCCTCCTCCTCCTCCAACTGTCTCCACCGACGTCGAAGCCTCTCCCTCTCCTCCACCTCATCCTCCTCATCTTCCTCCTCCTCGTCACCATCAACATGAGAATCAGAAGCAGCATAAACCTCATCCTAATCCTGAACAGCATGTGGCGAGCCGTCATCAGCATCATGATCATCAATAATGTACGCAGAATCAGCAGCAGCATTCTCATCACCACCATCATAATCAGAAGCAGCAGCAGCAGCAGCAGCAGCCGCATCTTCATCGTCATCATCAGCGTCATCAGCATCAGCATCATCAACATCATCAGGAGCATGGTCATCATCAGCATCAGCATCAGCATCAGCATCAGCATCATCGTCATCATCGTCGTCATTGTCATCGTCGTTGTCGTCGTCAGTATCATCATCAGCAGATTCATCATCATCATCAGCAATATCATCATCAGCAGCAGCATCAGCATCAGCATCAGCATGATCATCAGCATCATATCATCAGTATCATTATCGCCACCCTCGTTATCCTCACCACCACCATCATCAACATCAGCATCGTGATCATCCTCATCATCATCAACAGCAGCATCAACATCATCAGCACCGTTATCGTCGCCGTCGTCGTCATCGCCAGCATTAGCATCACCATCATCATCTCCATAAGCATAAGCATCGTCAGCTTCACCCTCATCATCAGCATCAGAATCATCATTCCCATCAGCGGCATCATCAGCATCCTCAGCATCCTGATCAGCGGCATCATCAGCATCCTCAGCATCCCGATCAGCAGCATCAGCGG